TAACAGAATACGTTACAGAATACATTTTGGGGCATGTATTCTGTAATCTGTAATGGAATACATTTTAAAAGTAACCTTCCCAACACTGAATGTAGACTAGATATAGATGCTTCAACTCGCTCATGTTTTACCCTTCACACGACAAACACTCTGTTTGTGTAGCTTGGTTCTTAGAGGGCCAGGCTCTAATATCTGTGGTATATTTATCTGTTACGGGAATGAAAAGGAGCATTGTTTGTGTGTTCATTCAGTGTTTCATGCGTTACAGCACAACATGCCCTGCCATGTCTTAGCTTGTTTTATGTGGAACTTGGCTCGGCTCTCAGAGCAGACCAATAAAACATGTTTGTGTGTAGGAGGCGGACTGGGAAAGCGGTGGCACACACACTGGTGCGTGTTTGGAGTAAAGAGTGAAAACGAGCTGAATGATCCTCAACCCACACAGCTTTTGACAAGCGCCTGTCTCTCCTGCGTTCACGCCACCTTCTTTATTGCATTACAGTCTGCGTTGACTCGAGAATAATATTTGAAACTGGGATATAAGCCAATCGGCGCATGTTTCCTGCTGCTGTTTACCCGATTTGCCTGAGCTTTCCTCTGTCTCACCGCCTCTCCCTTTTTCCAGCTTCCACTCCCTCTCTCCGTCTTTTGTCTTCCCTCTCGCTGAGCTTACGCACAGGAGCAGGTGTTCACACTTACACGATATAACATCTCACGGTGAGTCAGTAATGAGAGATGAGAGGGCTCGATGACTTTTTAGGCGCGGTGGCTTTTTTGTCCGTGAGGTGTGTGCCTCAGCAGTTAAAATTACATTCAGATTGTTATTTTTGTTTTTTAGTAGCATAGAGATACACACACAATGGTGGTAACGCATGACAAATAAAATATTTTGTATCGAAGCATATTTCTGTATGCCAACAAAATCTCAAAAGACAGCATGATTTTCAGTGCACTCCAACGCTCCCGTTTGCTCTTCATAATATGCTGAAGGCTCAGCTTTTTTAATCCCACTTATTAATCTATTATTTCATGTCTTCAGGCAATCTAGTCTGTTTTTTCTGTTTGCATAAAGCCTTCAGGTCTAGCGAGCTGAATTAGCAATAACATTACATGAGGATTTTTTACACCATGATCATAAATATCAGCAAAAATAATTGATAATCAAAGGGCTGCTGTACTTAAAAAAAAATTTAAAAAAAATTAAAAATTAAAAAAATGAAATAGTGGCCTGAACTTCTATTTCATGTTGAATCACATCAAGATTGAAGAACGTAATTAAATATTATTGCATATAACCTCCATTTCGCTGGCCCTCGTGGGTTGACGGAGCACATCGTTCTTGAATGACATAAAGAACTGGAACAATGACACTCCAGTTGAGTGCTTGACTGCTCTGGAAATGACATTCAGATGAGCGACTGTCCAAGGCTGAGTCGCAACCAAACAAAAATTGTCTGTTTCAAAGTTGGACCGAAATGTGCGACATGTTGAATCAAGAACAAAGGAATCTACGTCTCCTGTAGCAGTGTGCATTTCGCCGTGCGCTTTCTAAAGGTGACACGGATAAGACAGGAACCACAAAGGAGCTAGTTTTCTGTGTGTCACTTCTCGAGCTCTCAGACGCCCTCCATTGCACTGCCCTTTGTGCAAGTCTGGCTCCTAAACAGGCATGTGACTGCAGATTTACCACAGTGGTATTAACTGCCTCCACTCTTCCTACAGTGCTATTGTTGTCCTTGAAGAATTAAATATAAAGCAGAAGTCAAAGGGGTGTCGAGACACGCCCAACACTTGTTTTTCAACGGCAACCTCGTAGTTGTAGTCAGGCTGTCACTATCCCCTCTACACCTCTCTGCTCCTGAGGCACTCTGAGAATATCTGAGAAAGCAGGTGGAGCGCAAACAGGCTTTAATTTTTTGTTCAAGTCAATCCTCGCTACTTGCTGTCTTTTCAACAATTAACAGTTAGTGTCAGATTTAACAGCGTAAAAATATCCATAGTTCACCATGCAAAGTCTACAAAATTTTTCAAATAGAAGAATTTGTTGTTGCTAAATGTGCACGTGTATACATATGTAGGTATGTGTTGGGCGGGAGCTTTATTCAGTTGATGTGTGTATGTCTGTGTGCAAGCAGACTCGGCTCTGGTTAAGTCTGCAGCTCATCACACAGCACAGCCAACTGCTGATTACACAGCACTTGTTTTGTCCTCACTCTACTCTGTTCTGCATCCATTGTCAGCCTGGGAGCCTGCACAGAATTAAACAGAGAGCTTTGTCTAACACGCTGTTACTCAAGCGTTGCTCTTCAGCTGTTTTGTCCTTGGCTCAGTGCTGCAGCGGCGACACCTCTGCCCACATCTTCTTCGTGTCGAGAACCCAGCAAATGGTCAGAAATGTGTCGCCACTCATTGCCTTGATCTCTCTCTGGGGCTGAAGCGTGTTTACTCAGTCCGATGATATTATGACAATCAAGAGGCCATCAGTTCTGTTCCACTCCCTGTCTGGAGACTCCCTAGTGTCTGCTTTGGGACAGTTTGGCATGCAGACCTGCATCGCTTCACTGATTAATATGAGATGCCTGTGCAGAGCACCACTAGCATCACGTGAACATTAGCAGGATGTGACTCAATGAGGAGCCGATGACACGACTGATGCTAAACACACACCGAGCCACATGAAAGCCAATTGTGCAACAGATGACTGCACAGTAGCTTTGAATGTGTCCATTTGATATCATAAGAGCTGTTTACTTATCAAATGAAGGACATGCATCTGTTTGTGCTTCCTGCTTGCTTAAAGAGGAGCTACAGTATATTGTTTAGGAAATCATAACAGAGAAGAGTATACAAAGATAGCGGAAGCAAACAGTTAAGATCAAAGGGTGTGAAAGTAAACAAAGATGGAAAATGGCGTTAGAAGAAAGAAATATTATGGATATATTTCCAGAATATCTTGAAAAACCTGCTTATCTTGTTCTAATATGTCTGCACAGCTGACCTGATGATGCAGAGTGTGTGGATTGTTTACTCTGAAGAATAAATGATCTCTACTTTGTAGAAAGACTTTGGTCCCGGGAGGTCTAGACAATCAAAGCTCCGCCTTCAACTAGGAATGTCCTGGTTTGTGAGGCGTGACGGACTGCAGTTTTTTTCCCCCCGTCTGATCTCATGCTCTCTGTGTGAAGCCTCTTAGTTACTCAGTGCACATCAGAGCTAAAAATGTTGTGCACAAATCCAATCAAACCTCCACTTGTTTAACCATCCACCCTGCCAAATATTCCCCAGGTGCAATTAATTTGTCTCCTGTCTGAATCCCTCTGCTCTCTCAGCACTGCAGCAGAGAGTTGGCAGCAGCCGAGACATGCAATACTTCATGTCTTATAAGTTCTGTATTACAGCACATAATCCGAATCTGGTTTATCCGATCAGACTCCACAATGCAGAATGGTGTTTATGAGAGATGGGAGTGGGGCAGACAGCTTCTCAAGTCTGTCAACCAGCTTATTCCCCAGCTTTTATGATGACTGAGTGTTTTAACCCTTATTTCTCTCTTTGCCCTTGTCCTTCTGCAGGCGCTGGCAGCAAACGCAGGCACAGGGTTTGCCGTGGCCGAGCCACAGGTGGCGATGTTCTGTGGAAAGCTCAACATGCACATCAACATTCAAACCGGCCGCTGGGAACCAGACCCATCTGGGACTAAGAGCTGTGTAAGAACCAAAGAAGGTATACTGCAGTACTGCCAGGAGGTAAGACATTGTGACGCAGACACGTCTTTATCCCGTCAGTCTCACAGACTTGATGAAACTCATTTACTACTTAGAACGCTCAGTAGCTTCATGGGTTGTCAGTTCATTAAATTAGATGACTAGGGATGCAACTGTGTGAAAGTGAAAGAAACGTGTTTGAAGTAACAATTGCAAGGATTTGTATTTTATTATTATTTTCTTTGGATAGTTGTTTTTATATGACTGTGCAGTTAATCAAATTTAATTTCAGAACCACTTTCGGCTTTGAATGATTATTAAAGCTAGATAATCAAGATAAAGCAATTGTTTTGCTGCGTTCTGTTTTGCAGTAATTGTTTTGCTTTCCTTTCCATTTACCTCTCGATTAATGTGCCAGACCGTGGCATATTTGGTTTCTTTATTTATTTCTAGTAGTTATTTCGTTGTTTAATTTGAATTATAATTAAAGTTCAGAGAAGTTTTAACAAATTAAGCTTTGCCCGTTAAGTAAAGTCTTTGAGTAGTTGTGTTAAACAATCCTGGTCTCAACACTGACCAAAACAACTGTGATGATGACTTTTGTGATAACTGAGCATGACATTACGTTGCCATTTATCCCCCCTTTGTGCCATAGAAACAAGGAAATTTTCTTAAATTCATGTCTTTTTGAACATATATTTTGTCACATTTTCTTTATACTTTTACACCTAAATAATAAAATAACAATTTCATCACGTCTGGTTGATTTTAAGAGCTTTCGGGCAGCACATGTGTGATGGCTAAACCTGCAGTCTACTGTGTGCTGTTATTAATTTTTTCTTGCTCCATTTAGCAGCTTATTGGTGCTGCTGTCAGGAAATATATTAAATGTCATTTACTGAGAGTTAACTGAGAAGAATACTTTGACATTTTTGGATACACGCCTGTTTTCTGTCTGGTGGAGAGTTAGATGAGAGGATCAAACCGATCTCATGTCTCTACAAAAATGAAAAAGCAGTGAATTGGAAAAAAAAAACAAGATATCCGGTTTAATAAGTGAACTTTAGAGCTGCTTTCAGGCTTTCAGGCTATTTTCTTTTTTCAGCCTGCTTGCTAAACTAAGATAACCTGCTCGTGGCAAATGGAAATGGTGTCTGTTCAAAACAGCTGGGTTTGCTTCACAGTAGGTTCACAATGAAATAACAAACTTTTGCACAACTTTAGATTATTAAGTATAAATTATTTGTTGAGGACATTTTAGGTTAGGTGGGTGGCATTGAAGACTAAATTGATGTGTACTGAGGGAAATTAGCTACTGTGGCGAGGGGAAAAGTCAATTTTCATCTCTGTGATTTGTCACTAGAGAGGCTTTAAGGTGTTATTTACACTATGGTGGGTGGCTTTTAAATTACCAGATCTTGTGACTGTCATTTTCTCAAGCTGCCTCTAAAACTAAGTTTTACACAACATGGATATCCTCACTCTTATTTACTCAGTACTCCTACTATACCTGCTAACCCAGGAGGCTGCTGGAAATGGTGTCATGGATTATTATGCAGCCATCCAAGGGGGAAAAAAAGCAGGGCTGTACATTTTCAAGCATCTCAAAAGCTTCAGTTGCATTTACCAATGACATTTTGTTGGCATTTGGGGAAAGTGTAAATCATATGCTCTTTCACGGATGAACAGATGGCATCTAGAGAGTATAAAGTGTGGATTAAAGGATCCTACTGAAGCTCCACTTATCTCACCTTCTCTCTATCTTTCACACACATCTACACACGTACACAAATGTACGTTCACTCAGTGTTTAATATTAATTAGGGTCTTCTTCTTCCTGCAGATGTATCCGGAGCTCCAGATTACAAATGTGGTGGAAGCCAACCAGCCCATTCGCATTGAGAACTGGTGCAAGAAAGAGAAGAAAGTGTGCAAAGGGCACGCCCATGTTGTAGTGCCTTACAAATGCTTAGGTAAGCGTGTGCACTTATGAGTGGTTCAAGGGTCGGGAGAAATCACTTAGGTGGTAAATGACCCTTCAAATCTAGATGTTCTTCATTTTCCCCCTTTTGTCTGTATTATCCATCAGGGTGGAGAAAGATTAGAGTATGATACATCTTAGCCACAGGCAGAGGTGACATAGAGCAATATTGGAGTCTGATTCAGTTGACTAATTCTGGCCTTGAGCTGCAGATTGAGCAGATCCAGGTTGGATGGGAGCTAATGTGTTTCAGAATGGATGGCTTAGGGCCATGAGCCTTTTATTGCTGGGGAGGCTTGTTGAGCAATAAACCGCAATCTTATCCCCCCTTCCTCAGACAGTGGCCATAAACTCACACAGACGCACAGGGTCAGCAAGAGAGGGGCCTGTGAGGAGGCCTACTTTATTACTCCCCATTTCGCCATTCGCCCGCACTGTCATAGACAATGCTCGCTCTCCTCTGTCTCCTGCAGAATTTCTGTAATCAGCAGTGGCAACATGGCTATATTCTGGTTTATTAAATGTCAGATATAGCCCCAGACTATGCAGGCCACATGCCTCTGGGGCCCCTGACTTACAAAAACACAGTACACTCCTGCTACCGCTGAGGATTGCAATAAGACAGAAATTCTCAGTCTTGAAACTCCTCCCTGTATTTGTCCAGCCATGTCAGGAGGAAAAAACATCTTCCTTCATGCTGCTAACACTTTCTGGCATCCTTCCTCTGTCCAAAAGCCTCTTGCTGATTGAGTTGTGCCGCTTTCCAGGATGAAAAAGCCATTAGCACTTGCACTGGACTGTGAAATAGGCTACCATTCAAGAGCATTTTTGGCAAACGCAGAGAGGTGGTTTTGGGGTACTCCATGGGACAGCAAACACACATCCAGAGCGGCTACTTGGTGGCTGAGACGTGAATACAGATGAGAGATTTAGAGGCGGAATCGTTTTCCAAAATTTCACTATGGCTTCCTCTCATCGGACATCCAGAGGCTACAATACTTAATAGGACTGTACTTTCACTACAGCTGACTGTTGCACCTGAACTCTTTAAGTATAGTTCAACAACAGTGAAACGACTGCCATTTGATTAGGCCAATTTCATTACCTCTTCTAGAATAATTAAGGATTCACTCTTGCACATTTTTCGTCGTCGTTGTTAAAGGTGTGACACTCACGCCCTATCAATTTACAGAGCCCTCTCTGCTGCTCTGCTGAGCTCCAAACGAGGAGCCTCAACTGAGAAAGCAGAGGACAGATGGAGAAGGAGAGATAAACATAAGGTGTTGGTGAGAAGAAGGCTGTTCAGAGGGTTACTGCTTAATTATGTAATGGAGCATGTTAGGGGGATTAGTTGGAGGGCTCTGATCATACGCTTCATGACACGCCATGCTTCTGCCACTTCACCGTGGCTCCTCTCTGCAGTCCATTACTTGTCAGGCCTCTCTATCATATCAAATGCAGTAACAAGTGCTATTAAATTATTCATTGTTTGCAATGTCTGCATAATGTTTCAGAGAAATGGACATCAGAGGTTCCGCCTTTTGTTTGTCAGTGTACTTTAATTATACTGGATTCAAAAAGAAATGAAATACTCCAAAGGGAGATGGGCTTTAGCTGGAAGGATTTGATTAAAAGGGCTAGACCTGCACCCATGTCAAATTAATAGGTTTATATGAATAATGCAAGTGCTAAGGAAGAAGCTCAGTGTAAAAGGAGAGAGATGGGTTGTGCTGTAGTCCATCTCTCTCCATGCAAAGGCTCAGAGCCACAATCCCTCCATGTTTCCTGTCCTCAAACAATGGCTCTGCAAATGAATGCGATTTTTGTTCCATGGCGCTTTAATCCCTGCAGCATGATGTCTTTGTCAGACGGGTCAGGATTATTTTAGAGACTTTTTTTATTATTATGTCTAGAATGGTAAAAACGGTTATTGCACATGTGTGACGCTGGTGTTTGTTGGTGTGTCTCTTACATAGTGATTAAATTGACTGCAGACTGCATGTTGTTGGGAAAAAAGTATAGGTGCACTCTTTATATTTGCAAACACTGATTTATTGAGACAACTTTACATTTGCATTTTGGTTTTATAGAACTAGGGGCTTAAATTCTGCTGCCCCTGGTAGCTGTCTCCAATATGGCATCATTTATTTGAGGCATATTAAAGCCTATATAAGATACTTTGTTGACTTTTCAGGAGGAAAAGCCATGTTTAGGTGGGTGGGAAATGTACATAATTGCATAACATTTATGCACGTGGCACATTCTTTGCTTTTCCTGTTGACTAAGTCTGTTGGTGGAACAAAGGGCAGGATGCACAGTGACAAGTTCAGTTGTCGTGCTATTGTGAATACACTGAAAATGTGTACAAAAAAAGCTTATCTGTTAGTATTCCATTATGGCTTGAAAAATGTCTTGCAGAGTCAGAAATAAGTCTTCAAGCCATCACAAAACATTTTCTAGGGTCTAAAACCAGTAGTTAAATGAAGTGTTCTTCCCATTATGTATCATCGAACTCCAGCTACTTCCTCATTTTAGAAATGTCTGGTTCCCTCTGCTTTAAAAAAGCACAATCCAAATGTAAATGACAGGTTAGCCAAGAAATCAAAAAGAACTTCACATTAAACGAGCTATATGGCTTAAAATCAGACAAAGCAACAAGTGCATGCATGTATTAATAATATTCATCTAATTTATTTTAACATCTGTTGATGAAAAAAAATTATGTATTTCAAACTACTTTTGTCCAGGAAACGCTCATTTTTTTCCATCCATATTTCTATTTGAATTCAGGGTGTAGAAATAATCACTGAAATTAATGACAGCAGGTTTCACCTTGAGAGTCCTTGAAACACAAAAGCTATGCGCTATGATTTAGCACCCTGCAGCACTGAGAGGATCTTCAGTACATGCCTTATATTCATTCAGTGCAGCCAGACCAGGAATTTGACAGTGTTAGCAAGGGCATCTGATAGATGGCAGGTTAAAGGAAAAGTGGATGAATAGAGTATGTGGAGAGGAGGTCACAGAAATAGAAGAGTATATGCTCTTATGCTCACACTTGCAACTACACAAACTGATAATGCAGAGAAAACTCACGGTGCTGGGTTTCTTGCAGTGAGCAAGGCACAGCTGCTCACCGAACACCATCATCCATCACCCACTGCAGTGTGACTGCACACGGCATCTGCTTGAAACCCACTCCGCCTCACAACCAGAGAAGCCTCTGAGAGTGAGCGGACGAAATGAAAGCACAAGTAAATGAATCGCTTAGCATCCGGTGGAGAATATATGGAGCTGAGGGTTACGGGGAGTCATATTCGTCCTTGAGCTTCTCCGTTTCTCCGGAAAGGAGGCCAGAGTTAGTAAAGCGGAAGGCAATTTAAATCATTAGCAGCAATGAAATAAAATAAAAGTTGTTCTCCTACAAAGTGAGCAAATGTCATGGTTAGAGCTCTACTTGCTTAAAAGTGGAGGACAAAAATATCAGCAGCAAATCCATAAAAATGAAGGGAGTAATCATGCAGAATGGCCCACGTCAAGTGTTTATTTTATAATAATTGTGTTATATTATTGGGCTTGGCTGTTCTATTATTCTACTGTAATGCCCTGTGGAGTCATGACAGAGCTAATTTTTACCCCTTAACAATATATAGAATTGCAGATATATGGGACAGAAATTGAGCTATAAAATGTGGTGAAATAGAAGTAGTGCAAGAACAAGTAATGAGAATAAAGGGTATAAAATGTTCAGTGACAGAAGTGTCAAACAAAGCCAGGAATCATATCTTCATTGAAAGCCAGAAGACAGATAAAATGTTAAATCAGATGCATTCAGTATTCTGTTGAATCATTTTGTGCCAACCAGCAATTGCACAATTACTTAGATGCAATTGATGTGTCTAAGTAGAGAACCTGGATAAATCTGCTTAACCACTGGTGGGTATAAAGCAGACGGGGGTCTGAAGGGGGGGTGGTGAGAAGCAGCTGCTGAGTCCTCTACTATTTCAGGCTCTCTTCTCTTCCTATCCTACCCTCTCATTTTCCAAAACACTGCTTTTTCGCCCTCTACCCGCCTGCCTCGCCTCGCCTGTGCTCCAGCAGGCCTGCCTGAGGCCGAGTTTAGGGCGAACCACTAAATGAGCAGTTATAGGACAGCTCCCAGCCCTCATCGTGAAACCTCTAGACCCTGATTTGTGTGCTTTCAGCCCGCCCTCTAAACCTTCTATTCATTGGGCCCTCTTTTTCTTTCCCTGCCTGGCTGCCTGGCTTTCCATCTGTTTCTGGTGGCCATGGCTCTACCTGAGCAACTTGTCACACTGCCAGCATATGAGCAGTCACTGTCCTTTTTTAATCTTTCTTATGACCCCTGCACCATTTTCTCAGACGTGCATGTTTTTTTCTTTTTTCATCCTAAATCTATTCATAGGAACTCACAGGAAACCTTTCAAGCCATTTATTTCTTCCAGATCCTCTTTCTGTCAGCTCGCTCTATGAATAAAACATCGCTGAATTGAATTCATCAAGCAAATGATGTCATTTTCTTGCAGGAAGAGCCTGGACTACCTTAAAAGAGTCACAGTGTGAAACCTGATTTTCTCCACTGCCATTTTGATTGCAGATGGGTAACAGATGCAGCTATAGAAGGGAGATGAATCCCTCTCAGGTTCTGAGGCAGCTACAAGTACCAAATGCCCTCTCTGTTATACCGCTGGAATGAAGTATCTAGGACCAGGCAGCTATGAATTATTGAATCTTGGCCCCCTTTTTTGCTCTTCATCTATTCCTTTTTAGTCCGACTATGAGATATTTTTATAAACCCTGGCAGTGCTGTTAGGCAGTGATTAGGCTTTTTTTGGACAGATTGGTGGTGTGAATAACAGGCATATTGGTCCATTTTCTGTTTTGCTGTTACAGTGGGCGAGTTTGTGAGTGACGTCCTTCTGGTTCCCGAAAAGTGCAAGTTCTTTCACAAGGAGCGTATGGACATGTGCGTCAGCCACCAGCAATGGCACAGTGTGGCCAAAGAGGTAAGGAAGGAATTACCTCACAGGAAATGGTGGGAGGCTGTCTATCCTGTGGGAAGACGTTGTTAGCTTTAACTCGCAGATTAAACAAGTCTCTTCTTCCTGTCATACGGATCGTTCTTATATTACTTGCCCGTATTTCCACTCTAATGTCTTTCCACCTGTCTCTGAGAGTCTCTGAGGTCCTCTGATCATAGGCGGATGGGGAGTCCTCACATTTCAGCTGTTAATCAGATTAGTGTTGTGGCTGTAATGCAGCTAATCCCACAGGGCGGCTCCAGAGCCACCCCTTAGGGGGCCAGTATGACCACGGCTCACAGAGCCAATCATGTCACTCCCTGCCTCATGCGCCCTCAGTCCTACAGTCCAAAAAAAAAAAAAAATAGGCCAAAGACTGAGTATCATCTTCAGCTTTAGTTTGTGGGGCATCCAAAACAACCTGTAGTCGATAACAAATATGTTACACCTAAGCACGGATAAATCTTGGCAGAGGGAATAAGTGAGTAAGAAAAATGCTTCAAAAACAATCTCACTCCCTCACCACCTGCCACTGGGATGTTCTTAAGCAGTGGAGTTTCTCAGCCGCCATCAATTAGAGCGAGCTTGCACTCAGTGCTTGCATCAGCATTGCTGAAAAATAGCTTGGCAGTTGAAGGACTACATGACTTTTTATCGTACCAGTCAGTATGTGGCTGAAGAACGAGCTCTGTCCTGCTGGTGGAGAAACCTCCTCTACGCAGCACTATTCTTGAAGTTAGAATAAACAATGAAATTCAGCTTACATATAAATGTTCTTACA